CTTCACCTGCCTGCTAACTCTCTTCATTTCAAGGAGTATTTCATTTGCAGCAATATTGTGATCACGTGGAACGCATTGTTCATTTCTTCATTTCCAACTTGATTTCAATATTTAACGATATGGCAAATTGGTAATTACAGTTTGCATAATTTCAAATCTTCTCAAATTTAGAACAGAGTATCGGGACTTTTAAAAATTAATTTGATATAGTTTGATATTCTTAAATTTAATTTCAATATTTAGTGGTATAGTAAATTGGTAATTATGAATTATTTTAATTTCATAATTTCAACTTTTACATACTCATAGAATATAAAATTATGAATTATAAAAATTAATTCAATATAATTTGATATTTTAAAGTTTGATTTCAATATTTAGTAGCGTGGTAATGTCACGCCCCAAAATAGGGGGTGTAACTGATACTCGATACCCTAATACATCGAGTTACCCACTGAAATATACTAGCTAAACCAAACTTGTGAGGCAAAAATATTGGGCAGCACAACCTCTAAAAAGTGAAGCCTAGACCCAGAGGTCATGACCTGAAAGAGAATAACCATACAAACAATGGTAGACAAACCGAAAAATAAAAAAAATAAAGATGTACTATCTAGCTGACGACGCCACAATCGAAAATATACCTACTTACACACACACCTATATATACATGCCAAGACTATTGGCTGGAGGTTGAAACATACAAAAAGAAAACCCAGAATATTGTGTCCACAATAGCCTCTATGAGTGACATAAGCACTGTCGGGACAAGGCCCTGACTATACGCAAAATGTACAACCAAAGTAAACATCCTCAGATAGCCCCAGGATAAGACGGAGGTTACCAAGTCACAGCTGAACCTGAATCCTAGCGGGTGGATCGATTAGAGTCCCTGCCTGTACCTGCTCGCACAAAACAAAAAGCAGTGTCCCCAGGCAAAGGGACTTCAGTACAAATAAAAATGTACTGGTATGTAAAGCGAAAAGTAAAATCATAAACATTTACTGTAAAAGGGTAATAGAGATACCACCTGAAATTGAAACCCAAATAATCTCCATGGCTGACCTTTAGCCCCCTACTACTTAAATATGCATGGTATGCTTGTATAATCATATGTTGTGAATACATGTATATATATAGATGCAAATGCATGACATACCCAACCAAATGCTAGGAATGGTGGTTCTTTCCGGTAGCGAACCGGCATCATATTCTCCAACTTGTGGCGATCTGTGTCTCATACGTATAAA